CACACGTATTCCAATTTACAGGGGTTTTCAATCCGGGGAAGGGTGGGGGGTTGTTGGGTGGGGTGGAGTGGGGTGGAGGGACCTATGTAATAAGGTCTGATCATCAAGGGGTGGGGGCAAAGCGTGGTTGGATGATAGTTTTGGAATTTGGCTAGCCAGGCTTATTATCATTGGTTCTTTGGTGACATCTCAAGTTTCCACATTTAAGGTCTCTAATTTAATTAAATTGGGGAATAGTTAGATAAATGGATTCTTGACATATAAAGGAATGATGCTGTATATATTTATAGACCTTTTAAAAGCTTTAAAAATTATAACTACTGAGTGAAGAGCAGCAATTTAGCAACAATTTGATATAGACATAACAGTAGTCCGTAGACTGCGTATACTCTGCGATATCTAATAAAGATTTTCGTTTTCTTCAAGATCCACCTATATTATAAAATATCTAGTATCCCCCTTTTGCCAAAGGGAGGTAAAAATTAAGTGAAAATTGATATGTGTAGTCATCCTCCAAGTCCCACCCCCTGCGCAAACTCCTCCGCCCCCTGTTGAAAAACCTTAGGTTTAGAGATCAATATCGAACCAAAACCCTCTGTCGCAGCCGTTAATTTGTTCTCAAGTTTCCTACCCTCTAGGTTTCCTCGCCTATCCCGTTGAAAAACTTCATTCCCATTAATCCGGGGGGGAACGTGGGCTTCGGTGTTCAAAACAACTCTCAGTGAGCGGGAGGACATCCGTTGGAGAAAGAGGAGATAGAGAGGTATTCCGGCCTGCGTGAAGCGTTAGTTCTGCTTTCAATAGAGCATTCGGTAGACTGCTAGCTAGCATCTCCACATACTAGTCGAAAACTTTCTATGTTATCCCTGAGGGGTGGGTGAAGTCCTGTTCACATCATTAAGAGAGACATACCCCTCCCCATGAGGAGGGACGGTATATATTTCTCAAGCACCTTGAATATCCTCCAGCCCCATTCTCGTAGATAAGGTCCTCAGTTATGCGTTACGACATCAGCAGACTGTCTACCCAACTCTGGGCGTTGCAGATTATGCGTGTCAAACGGTTTGACGACACAAATCTCGATAAAGTCTCTGCTGCGAGGAAGGGGGGGGAATTCCCAGGTACAGGATGGAGGTCTGCAACCCTACACTGAACCAGTTGATTTCGGGTGCCAGCCCTGTCTTCGTGACTTTGCACATAGCCCAGCATGTCTTCATGAGTTCCTTTGCAAGGTTTAACTCTTCACTCCACCGTGGGTTTTTTTTTTTTTTTTTTGTTTTGGCTATCGTCACCCCCACCTGTCACGCCTAATGCAATCGTGCCTGGAAAGAAGCACACGAGGTGTTTCGAGATATATGGTTCAGATGTTTGTAGTATTGATGTATAATATATTCTGCCCATGATATCAGTTGGTGTAGTGAAGTGGTCGTCACTCTCTGGGTCTACGAAGATAGGATGAAGGCCATCCTGTCAGGCCTGTCCGCCTTCTTACGTAATCCGCACCGTATATAACTTCCGCGTAGCTAGCGATCGCTTCATAATCAATCAAGCAATCTATCCTTCACACATCCCCCATGGCATTGTCATCAAGGACTTGGTCCATTTTCTCCGCTTTGAGCCAGTACAATTCATTACCAGTGAACCAACTGGAGAGTGGCCACTTCTTCCATCGACGATGCTCCACCATCAGCATGCGAACGGATCCCATTCTTCGTTTGCAGTTCGACACCTGCGTACGGAATCCCTGATGGGGATTCATATGCACCGAGAAGTCGAACAGCCAGGTCAATTGCCTTGGACAAATAAACAGAGTCTTGCGGAGAAGAGACATCTGGGACCTGACTGGTAAGATAATGTGCATGGAGGAGAAACCCCCCAAGCATACGACTTGTCGTCTCGAACGTATTGACGTCTTGGTTTTGATCATACGTGAGATTTTGGCGGATCAAACGTCCGAGCATTCCCATGAGGAGAAGTGCGGTTCATGAGCATCATTGGGTCCAGGCTGTCAATGATCCATCCCAAGCCTCTGGGCTCATTTGTGAGCCCATTTAGGAGATGGAGTGGAAGATTATGGAATATTCTTTTTAGCCCATACATATATATCTTGACTGAGTCTGGATATGTAACCATGTTGGCAAAGGGAGAACTAAAGAAAAGAAAAGAAAAGAAAAACATGGGAAATTGTTAACTAAGGTTCGTTTGATGTTTTAGGAAGCTCAGGAATCGGACTTCCGATTTTTGTGGCTGGGGAGTTCCCAACCACTGGTGCCAGTCAATCAAAATGGCGTCCTCGAGCTTGGGGACCTGCGGAGATTCTTCAAGATCATCAGAATATTTTGTTCCTTTGTGTGCAATTCAATGCATGTCAAAATTTCCGCTCTAGCGTACAGGTCAAGGTTTGGACTTCTTTGTTTTTGTACGGAGTAACGTTAACTAATAGTTAGTTACTGATTCGTCAAATCATGATGCCATTGTCTGCGGACAAAACTTAAGCTTATATTAAGTAACTAGCCAGTTAGTGGACAGTTGTCGACGACTACTTGGGCGCTGAATTTACAACCTTCTTGTTCTCCTGTGAAAAATAAGATCTAAGCTCAAACACGATCGGTCCATCAACCTCCCCACGATCCATCCTCTTTTTAACCCACCTGGTCTCGGACAAAATGGCACTTTTGATGCGCTAGCCATTATGCAATTTTTATTCTTGATACCTGCACCGGACTAAATAGTCCATCACTCAACCTCGTCACATAACATTTGGTCCGAGAGAACTAGCAACGTCATGATTTGAGATAGGAGAGACAGGCAGCTGGCCGTATGGAAAAGAGACCGCTTTGCCGATCCAGAGATTCAAAGGCTCCGCTTCTTCTCTTATTAGTTCTTCAAATAACTTTCCTACCATGGGTTTTAGGCAGCTGAAGGGTTCGGCTCAGCGTCGCTACCAAAAGTTTTTACTCGCCACGGCACTAAAAAAGAGCCATAAAAGCAATATTAGCAATATTGTTGTCTCAACTATAACTTAGACATTAGTTCCACTGTCAGTGGTTAAAGTCTTTAGTTAAGATTTAAGGCATCGGCACCTGAAGATTCAGTTATGCTCAAGCCTAAGAGTCTCTAGATTGATGCCTATCAATACAGGCGTGGTTTCACACACCATTCTAGTTTGGATTATTAATATATTTTCAGCGAGAGTCAAACCTTTTTTGATAGCGACCGCCGTTAGTATTGAAAAAGACAAGGGATTGATGGACATCACTTTCTCAACGGCCCTGGTCTCCGCAATATTCCACCTTTTATCATTTATTGCTGATGTGTTTCTTCCTGTGTGAATGGGTGTTCATATTATCATGATATCATCATTGATTTTTTTCGGAGTCCGATGAACACTGCCTGCCTTCGTTATCTGATCCTTCGGTTAAATTTATCCGAGCTCCACCCAACAACTCCTTCAGTTAAACGAATCCCTCATAGCCATCGATTGATCTGGAATCCATTCCCAGCTCTACATCTATCATCAATTCCCGCGGTTTGCGTATGGTCGCTGTTCAACCTCAGCTCAGCATTGATAGACCACTAGGCTGATACGGTTCAAGTCCGTTTAGGGCACTCCGGCGCCATTGCCACGGCAATACTGACTGACATGCACAGTTTGACCCGTCAGCGATACAACTGCCTCGGTTGAATTGTAGCCCACGGGAATGGATGTCCATGTCACTAACTAGATGCTTGGAGGATATAGATGCTGGGCCAACAACAAACATCTATACTTCTAATAGAATTCGTGCGCTCAATCTATTTGCTGATACCAGTCCTATCCATCCTCTCCGCTTCGTCCGCTTGCTCAGGATCTCTCGCCTTCACTGTATCGAACAAATACACGCTGCCAATATCAAAGTCAGGGAAATTCCATCTCTTCATCCAAACTAACGATCCTCACTTTTCTCCTTCTCTCATCCAAGTCTACGTCTCATTCTCCAAATATGGATTCTTCTGGCACAGACGCGCAAGAAAAAGCCTGGTCCGACATACAAGCCTTCCTCGACAAGGCCGCTGCCAAAGAAGACAACCGAGGCTGGGACCTCCCCGCTTTAAGGGCGACCAAGCTCGTAAAAGTGGCGTCAGGAATGGCGGAATTCGAGTTCACAGTGACAGAGCAATTGTGCAATCCAATGGGGATATTGCATGGCGGCTGCGCATCGACAATACTGGACATTCTGACGTCGTTGGCGACGCTTACGGTGCCTGGTAATGACGGGATGGTTAGAGCGCTAAGTCGGACTTTAACGATGACGTTTTTGAGACCTGTGCCGGTGGGTACAAAGACGAGGATTGTGGTTGAATTGGTGGCTATGGGGAGGAAATTTGTTCACTGCAAGGGGAGCATTTTGACAATGGATGGGAAGATTTGTGTTGGCTGTGTGCATGATAAAGCTGTGGTACAGGCAGCGAATCTGTGAGAACATCAAAAATCCTTTGGCGACTGGGTGGTTATTGCAAGATCGGTTCTTGCGAAGAAAATGATTGAACCTCTTGGTTTCAATGGTGAAAAGGAACACTTGCGACTGATTGGCAGCGCGAGTTCGATGAAAAGAAAGTTATTTTTGTTATTCCCGCCTTCTTTCTTTTATATACAATTGATAGACTTTTAGACGATATGTTGTTCTATGTATAGTCAAGCCCACGGGAATCGGATTCGGGATCGTCTCCTATTTTTACTCCCTGATCTGAGTATAATGTGAAATTTGGTTGTTATATTTTACGTGTCCGTTCTCATTAAGCAGCTACTTATTCATAGTTACGTGACAAACCCTAAGTAACAAACCAATGTCCCTTAGCTACTCTTAACCAACCATCTGCCATTGGTTTGAAACAGATGAAATCAAGGAATGTTAGTTCAGCAAAACCCGCCAAATCATGCATTTTCGCTGGGATAAGCTATTCATCTAGCACGTCAAATCGGCAATGTCATGCACATTTCATGGCAATTGCCTTCCTCGTCCAATTGGATCATCAGCAGGGCCTCTCTGCTCCGGACAATTTCGTTGCTCTGTTCCCTGGTCTCGCCTTGTCCTGCCGGTGTGCATTGGCAGGGTTCTGAAACATAAACCAGTCTGAGGGGCGGCCTAAATATTTATACCAACTCATTCCCTTCAACATCTCTGCCCACATTCCTTGATTGAAGCGGTCTGGGAAAGGGGCTATATTCTTCAATTCTCCATTCGCTTTCATATAGAAAACTCAAATAATATCCTTGTACCTTTTGGCGTGTTTAGTCAACTGACCGTTTTCTGCTACCCCGCCATCCTCAGAATCCCTTTCCCGCCGTGGGTTAAATAGCTACAGGCACGGCCTCAGCGTTACATACCAAACATACCTTGAGTGTGCTTTTCTTTCTCATAAACCCCACAATCCATCGGGATATTTCAACCAAGCATACCTTGTTCTCCAATTGGCTGTTTAACTCTCGTACTCTCTCTTCCTCTGTCTCCACTACAGTACCGTGGTTCAATCGGGGCGCTTGGTACCCACATCTACAGCGCCCAGTTCCTCAAAAAATTTATCAAGCCGCTAAGGACTCGTCGAACATAACATTCATTGGAAATTTTCTCTGATCAGTTGCAATTCTATCAGCAAGGCCCCTGTTCTAATGCTCTAAACCATGTCGCCAACTCCCACCCGTGAACGTCGTTTGTCAGTCGGTACCCCAATATCTGATCTGAGGGGCCCTGTTGGACCTGGTTTCAGTCGCCCAAAGCATAAACGTACATTTACCGGCTTTAGCCCTCAGGATATCAAAACTGTAGAGGCAAGCATTCCGGAACCTCAACGGGAAGCGTACGTATAACGTCTTTCTTTCGTAATTTCCCTTTCCCGCGCCAGTTCGCAGCGGTTCCACTCACCTCGTCGCCTGGCATTCGGGAACAACATTTTAGCTACTGGTGCTTTTGATAAGTTTGCTTGTGGAAATTTTGAGAAGCTAATTGTTCTACTTGGGGCTCATAGTTGGCGCAAGTTTGTATGGGTTATCTCCTCTCGCTGTTTTGAAATGAAGGGTGCGTTCTAATGAGTCTGTTTTGGGTCCTAGACTGCGAAAGAGTTTAAGACGAAGGAGGAGTTTCAGGTATGAATTTTTGGGATATTCCCCCTCTGTCTCCATCTTGCTGGCCCACGAAATATGCTTGATTATTTCAAGTTTACCAATGAAATGAATAGAAAGAAGTCGTCCGCCATGTTGAGACGACGCTTGCTCGGTCTCTATTTAACTGTGATGAGTTGTAGGTTCTATGATTTACGAACTATACATTTTAAAATTTTGGGAACTCAATGCGCTGATGATTAATAGGGCGGCATATTCTGGCACAGCATTAGCTTTTCGAGATCGACTTGTTATTGAGTGGAATAAAACTCAACAGCACCACACATTCGTGGACCCGAAGAGAGTCTATTGTATGCAGGCGATTCCTCGCATTGTTTGGTCATCTTACTGACTTCTAGCTAGATCTTTCTCTCGAGTTTTTGATGGGTCGAGCTTTGGACAATGCTATGCTCAATGTGGGGATGAAGGACGTTGCAAAAGGTGCGAGTTTCACTCCTTGCCCTGTTCATTGCTAATAAAAATGTATTCCAGATGGACTTCATGACCTGGGGTTTCGTATAGAGGACGTTATCAACCAAGAGCATGATGCTGCTCTAGGTAACGGCGGTCTTGGGCGGCTTGCAGCTTGTTTTCTTGACAGCCTGGCAACTTTGAATTATCCAGCATGGGGATACGGATTGCGATATCGATACGGCATATTCAAGCAAGAAATTATCGATGGATATCAAATCGAAATTCCAGATTACTGGCTCGATTTCAATCCTTGGGAGTTCCCACGTCACGATATCACTGTTGACATCCAATTTTACGGCCAGGTTAGAAAATATCAGAACGAAGAGGGGAAACATATCTATTCCTGGCAAGACGGCGAGATTGTTCAAGCAATTGCCTACGATGTGCCAATTCCTGGTTATGACACGCAAACGACCAACAATCTCCGACTCTGGTCAAGCAAAGCCGCGAGTGGGGAGTTCGATTTCCAAAAGTTCAACGCAGGCGAGTACGAAAGCGCTGTCGCTGATGAGCAGCGTGCGGAAACCATATCCGCCGTGTTGTATCCAAACGACAACCTCGAACGCGGCAAAGAATTACGCTTAAAACAGCAATATTTCTGGTGTGCTGCTTCACTTTTCGATATTGTCCGGAGATTCAAGAAGACGAATCGACCATGGTCGGAGTTCACTGACCAAGTTGCGATCCAACTAAATGATACCCATCCTACTCTAGCCATTGTGGAACTGCAGCGTATACTTGTTGATCAAGAAGGATTGGATTGGGACGTGGCTTGGAAAATCGTATGCAACACTTTCGGATATACGAACCATACTGTCCTGCCTGAAGCTCTGGAGAAGTGGTCCGTCCCTCTCATTCAGAACCTGCTGCCCAGACATTTACAAATCATCTACGATATCAATTTGATATTTCTTCAAATGGTAGAGAGGAAGTTCCCAAGGGATCGTGAACTTTTATCCCGGGTATCAATAATTGAAGAGTCACAGCCGAAAATGGTTCGCATGGCACATTTGGCCATTATCGGTTCTCATAAGGTCAATGGGGTAGCAGAGCTACACTCCGATCTCATCAAGACGACAATCTTTAAAGACTTTGTTGAAGTGTACGGCCCAGACAAATTTACCAACGTGACAAATGGTATCACTCCTAGAAGATGGCTGCACCAAGCCAATCCTCGCCTGTCCAAGCTCATTGCTTCAAAACTGGGAGGTTACGGCTTTTTGAAAGATCTCACTCTGCTCGACCAGCTTGAAATGTACATCGACGACAAAGAGTTCAAGGCTGAGTGGGCAAATATCAAACTTTTTAATAAGATGCGACTGGCGAAACATATCTGGGATTCCAGCGGAATTCGTGTTAATCCACAGTCTTTGTTTGATATTCAAGTCAAACGCATTCACGAATACAAGAGGCAGCAATTGAACATCTTTTGGGTTATCCATAAGTATCTGAAAATTAAAGCAATGAGTCCCAAGGAACGATCGAAGCTTGTTCCTCGTGTCTCCATCTTTGGGGGAAAGGCAGCCCCAGGCTACTGGATGGCGAAAACAATTATCCACCTCATCAATAAGGTAGGGTCCGTTGTCAACAGTGATCCTGACATCGGAGATCTCTTGAAGGTCGTTTTTGTAGAGGACTATAACGTTAGCAAAGCAGAAATCATCTGCCCAGCTTCAGATATTAGTGAACATATCTCCACCGCCGGCACAGAGGCTAGTGGGACAAGCAACATGAAGTTCGTTCTCAATGGAGGACTCATCATTGGTACCTGTGATGGCGCGAATGTAAGTCAACCTCCTGTCTTTCGATACCTCAAACTTTCTATACTAACTTCACCCCCCAGATCGAAATAACCCGCGAAATCGGTGAACAAAACGTCTTCCTCTTTGGTACCCTGGCCGAAGATGTCGAAGATCTTCGCCACGCCCATATTTATGAGAAGGGCAACCTCACCCTAGACAGCGACCTGAGTGCTGTCTTTGATGCTATCAATTCAGGCACATTTGGTAACCCTAGCGAGTTTTCAGCGCTAATTGCGGCAATTACTGAGCACGGTGATTACTATCTTGTCTCGGACGATTTCCATTCGTATATCGCAACGCAGGATATGGTTGATGAAGCATACCGGGACCAGGATGGGTGGGTGGAGAAGAGCATTTTGAGTGTATCGAAGATGGGATTTTTCTCGTCGGATAGGGTTATTTTGGAGTATGCAGAGAGCATTTGGAATGTGGAACCGGTTGAGGCCAAGTAGGATGGAGTTCCGGGAGCCGGGATATTTGACGATGCGGGTGGGGACGGGATTGAAACGAAGAGAAAAAGGGGCCAAGGGGGGAGCCAAAGTTTTTCGTTCGATGTGTTAGCTAGCAGAATATTTTATCTGGATTTTATTCCATTTTGTTCCCCCCCCTTTTCTTCCACTTTCAAGTACACACTTGTCCGTTGAGTGATAATTGGCAATACACCAATCACTCCACACCAATCCCACCTCCACTCCACTCCAACCCACTCAAGTAACCTTGTAAAACCTAATCTCCATCCGGCCCCTCTGCTTAATCTTGCTCTTTTAAATATACCCTTATGGAATTCGAATAAAAGAAAAACTTGCGAGACCCTGGAACCTAGAGTGGTCCGTTAAGAAAGGTCTATATGTTATATCAGAGAGGAGAAGAGGGGCCAAAGGAGCCGCCTGTGGGTCCTGACTGGAACGAGTAGGCGTCGGTCAAGAAGCAGCGGAAAGCTGTTAGCGCAGTGCAATAAATTCTTATCACTGCCATCAAAGGTCATGTCATCAAGTATAGCCCTGTTAGCTGAAGCGTGCTCCGCTCTTTCAATAGGAAGAGAAAGAGAGAGCAAATATGCGGTAAAAATCCCCAATACCCGCGCCCCATCAATGTATATCTAGGTAATTGACGTGATAATAGTAAATTTAACATTATGGAATGGGTAAGTTAAGTATATAGGTAATATACAGACATATATGTAGCAGATGTGTATTCACATCACCGCTCAAAATGCCAAATTTAGAAGGTTTGATAAGACAAAAAAATGTGTGAAGAAGAGAAAGATAAGAGGTAGCACCTAAACAGGCCATTGGGATGTGGTATACCAATGGAATTTTAAATGCTAAAAGATGTCCATGTTGCCTTTTAGGTTTCCGAATCCACTATGAACAAAGGGGTATATGTAGACAGCTGTATTCCATGAAGTTTAAACCATTCGTCCAAAGTTTTAAGAGATGAATGAAGATGCGGCCTGTATATATAAGGAACCTGATGGATTGAGTTTATGTGGAGGCGTATGGCTAAGGGGTAAGTTTGGTGGTTGAGATATTGGATCGAAACGAATGGGCACTAAGTTCAGCCATAAGATGGATACTTGCGACATCGAAAACACGATCATGACGCAGTTAGTTCCGAAAGTCTCTTTTCCAAGTCTGGTACCGCACGCAGTTGGAGCTCGATTTCTTCCTTCTCACTGCTTTCGAGTGGTCAGTCAGAATATCAAAGGCGATACATCAAAACACTCAGACCAGACACACCAAGACAAGGTTAAGGGGGGGGGGGGGGGGGGAAAGAAGAAAAAAAGAAAAGAAAAACCCACTCTTCAAGCTGCAACCTCTTCTCCCAATCCAAGCCAGTAAAAATATAATTCCCCTGTCCATCAAACTGCAATATCTTCTTATGATATTTCCATAAACTCCGCCGATGAGAAACAGTCATTAGTGTCACACCTAGCTTCTTCGCAGTCTCATACATAACTTTCTCAATCTCCAGAGTGACGGAGGATGTGCACTCGTCCAAAATCGCAAACCGGGGCTTATGGTAGAAGAGCCTCGCCATAGCAATCCGTTGCTGCAAGCCACCAGAAAGTGCATCACGCCACTCCTCCTCCGCATCCCACCCGCCAGGCCTATCGACGATGGAGGCAATCTCTACGATACTAAGAATCTTATAGAGGTCTTCATCCGTAACACCCTTGGCATGCATTTCACTTAGGCCGTCTGGGTAGATGACTTGCTGTCGCAGTGTGCCGCGGGATAGGTAAGGGCGTTGTGGGATGTAGAAGATATCCTCGAAGGATGGCTTCTTGACTATCCCGCCGTAGACTGGCCACAGACCACCCAGAATTCGGAAGAGAGAGGACTTCCCGCACCCATTGGGACCGACGATGAGGAGGTGATCGCCAGGATAAACGGAGAAGGATAGCTTTTGGACCAGAACGTCCCCATTAGGAGAGACTATGGGGACATCAGTGAATTCGATGAAGTCACTCTCCACGATGGTGCCGCGGCCACTGAGGACGGCGGCATTTTCGTCAGTAGAGGCAGAAGAAACGAGCTTCTTTTCGAAATGGCCGGCCGAAACATCGTCAATAACTTCGAGAAGGGATGATACGCGGGCGGTGTGGCCGGCGAGTTGAGAAATTTCCTTGTATGAAAACATCACTCGTCCAAAAGCGTCGGAAGAGGACAAGAGCATGCGTCTATTTGTAACGAAACCTAGATGATGTTAGCATGTAATGATGTGCAGGAAAGCTCAGTGTGTGTGAATGGAACACTTACTCTCCGTCCTGTCTCCCATTGTTGCCGTAACTTGTCCCGGAATTTTGAAGAAGACTGGAACACTACAGAGAACCAATCCCAGAACGCCCCAGAAATACTTAATCACAAAATCCTCCATGAAACCATAGTATAGCCTTCGCCGCAGGATGCGGTTCACATGCTTGATCAGTGTAAAATACCCCTTATCCAACGTATCCTTCTCCGTCTCATGGCCGCGGTACAGGGCAATCTCTTCGCTGTAATCAATGAGCCTTGTGTGCTGGAATCGAAACTCTCCCTCCAACCGTGCTTCATCGGCAACGTATTTCCCAAACGGTGGCGTTAATGCGCGCATCGCGTTCGCAGATAATTGGACAAGAAGGGACATGAGAAAAAGGCTTTCGCCACCCACACTCTTCGAAAGGGAATAATTGTAAATGGCCATGTCGAGAATCGGTTTGGCGAGGTTGGAGTAAAGCTCTGCCAGACTATTTGAGAACCGCGAGATATCAACCGTTATGAGTTGGTCGGGGTTCTTGATCCGGTCGTCCAAAGCGGATAGTGTGTAGAAGGACATGTTCGATAGGTAATGATCATGCACATATTCCGTTAGACGTTTTCGGTATTGCAGCGCCAGTTGGCATTGATGATATGAAAGCTGTAACGAATAATAGTTAGATAGCGTACATATATATAAAAGACAAAGTCTCTCCACCGTTTATCCCGAACTAGATAAGAACCTACCATCGAATTCGTAAAAGTAGCCGGAACCGCCACGGCCATCCACCACGTAAGACTGAGCAAAAACTCCCTCCCCTTCCCCCGCACCAAACTACTAACTAACTTTCCATCCAGCTCCGCAACATACACACTCAACAACGTGCGCAGGATCAAAAAGAACGAATGGCTAAGGAGAAGCCTTAGTTCCTTACTCTTCCATCCGGGAATAACAATCCTCAACAGGCGCAGCAGATCCTTAACAAATTCCCAATTCAACTCAACCTTCTTGCGCGCCGTGATTTCTTCTCCGTTGTTACCCGTTCTACCATTATTTATACCGCCATTAGTATCGGAAATACTATCAATCTTACTAGTACCAGGTCGTCCGCGGATCTCCGCTATGCGCTGGGCTGCCGCTTTCTGCTCCCCAACGGCATTGTGAATGCGCTTAACGAGGGTGAGGAAGAGGGCCAGATAGACGCTGCGGGAGATGAGCTTGCGATGTTTGAGGTAATTGGTTGTCAAGGAGGAGAGGAGGGATTTAAGAGAGGCCTCTTGGAGGGAGAACTTGGATTGTGCAGCCATTTTGGAGATCGATGGTCAAAGAGGATGGACGGCACGTGTGTTTCCGGGACTTTTAAAAGTGTAAACGGCGATTGTGGAGAATTTGAGATGTTCTGCAGGCATTCGTAGAGAGAAGAGATGGCCCCACTGATGCCCCGTGCTGAAAAGATTTGTTCTATAAGTTTTTGACAAAGTGTTAGATGAAAAACGACGTGACATTAATTATGCCATGGCATCATTGCGACAGAGAATCTTTATATCATTCACAAGAAGAGAAGACCAGAGGTGAAAGGAAAGATATTAGATAACAAAATAACTTAGGAAATGACAAATATCAATTCTGTTCGATGGGGTACAACAAGAAGAGAAATTCACTTGCAGTCGGAGGTAACAGTATATCATTATCAAATATCGATCCGGAAACACAAGGTTTCAGTCCCGAAGTCACTTGACCCGATGGTTTGGTTCGTGGATTGCATGTGAAACATCCGGGGAATCGTTGTGCCGGGGTTAGTTAACTAACTAATTAACTAATGTAATTCCCAAGCAAGCGGAGCAAGAAGATCACCAATTCAAAATATCTTCTCATTTAACTACTCATCTATCTTAATGCATAATTATGCCACTGATTTGCAATAAAATTGCTTCAAATTCTCTTGAGAGAGAGAGAAGACTTGAACTCATGATTAATACTTTGAAAAGCAAGAAATATTCTCAACTTATAAAGCTACACATGTATTTAATATGTCATTTTCTACTCTAAATAATCAGCTCAATGACTGAACTACTTGCATGAATTTGTATGCAAATTCAATCAAATTAATTCAATTTGAAGAGAATAGACTAGTTGAATAAATGTTAAATCAAGATAAACAAGAATTTTTCTCACAGCTTATATTTGTTAAGAATACAGTTTATCATTTCTCCTATTAAATAGAATTTTATTATTTTTATCATTATTCTTCTCTGCATTGACCAGAATTAAGTATTAAATTTAATGACATATTGTTTAGAGCTTTAGATTTGTTACTTTAGAGATTATAATTATAATCAGATTAAATATGAGAATATAAAAAAAATTTAAATTTAATTTAAAATTTTGAAAATTATAGTTACTGAGTATGAGATTCTATCAAAGAATGTTATAATTTTAATAAGATTGACTTTGCAATAAGACTTTGTTCTCTTTAAGATTATTATTAATAATAAATACTACAATCAGACAAAGCTTTTATAATTTAAAAATTTAAAACAAATAACTGTAATTAAGTTAATTAATATATTAAAATAAATATTATTTTTATATATTTAATATAAATAAAGTAGAGAAGTAAAAAGTAAAATAAATCTAAATAATAAATTTTATATATAAAAAATATAAATAAAAATAAAATTTAAAGCTTTATAATTTTATTTATTATATTTATTAAATAAATAATTATTTAACTTCATAACTTTATTATTTAAATTTATATTATATTAATAAATTTT